TAGAACTATTTAGAACACAACTTTAGAACTATTACATCTCCCTGATAAATAAAACCTTTTATCATTATATAAAGTCCTTATTTATCTCTTACAGTCTATTTTGTCTAATGATAATATAGTTACACCAACTTTCTTTTAACTATTAGGTTGGTGCAAAAGTCATGGCAAAAACCACAATTCCTTTTTCACCAACTTAATAGTATTGCCTGCTATATCTTTTTTTCATCATTTTACTTTCATCTTTCCTGTGTCCTTTTATTTTAGGTGTGTCTTATATATTTTTTAATTTAGGTCTAAGAATGTGTCTTTTCATTTATTGTTTAGTCCATTTATACTTATTGTGATTACTGATATATTTAGATTTTCACCCTACTAATTTTTGGCTTTCCATTTATTTTCCTTTTTTAAACTTATTTTTTTCCTTTTTCTTCTGCATTTGATTTTTGTTTCTTTATTCTATTTTACTTTTTACTGGTATGGAAGTTACACATTTTCTGTTTGTAGTGATTACCCTTGAAATTGTACCATGCACATTTAACAACGTCTAAAGTGAACAAATACCTGAACCTTCTCTTAGAAGAATACAAAGAACTTAGAACAGTCTAACTCTCCCCACCAACCTCGGGCCTCCTTCACCCATCTATAAATATTGCCCAGTATTTGTGTGTGTCCTTTTTTAACCCCACAAATTATAGACCATCATCACCTTTCATTAGAAGTTTTTTGCAGACAATTTTTGGAATTATTTACATACTTAATAGTTTATTTGTTCGTCATTCTTTCTTGCATTGAAATAAGTTACATATTTTTAGAAATGTTTCCCTTTTTCTGTGATCATTTTCCTTCCTCCTAAAGTATATCTTCCAGAAATTATTTTAGTTAAGGTCTGTTAGTGGTAAAATCTCTCGGTTTTATTCTGAAATGTCCCTATTTCACCTTCATGTTTCTATTTTACATACATTTTTGAAAGGCAGTTTTGCTGGGCAATTCTGGGTTAACTTTCTCTTAATACTTTGAAGATATTTTTCTGTCTTCTAAATTCACTGTTCCTGCCACCATATAGTTTTTGTTTCTTTGTAAACAAGGTTTCTTTTCTCTTTGGCTACTTTTAATATCTTTGCTTTTGGAGCTCTGTGGTTTCTCTACACCATTTCCAGATGTGGGCTTCTTTTTTTTTTTTGAAACAGAGTCTCATTCTGTCACCAGCTGGAGTGCAGTGGCATGATCTCAGCTCACTGCAACCTCTGACTCCCTGATTCAAGTGAATCTCCTGCGTCAGCTTCCCAAGTAGCTGGGATTATAGGCGTGCACCACCACACCCAGCTAATTTTTGTATTTTTAGTAGAGACAGGGTTTCACCATGTTGCCCAGGATGGTCTCAATCTCCTGATTGATTCGCTTGCTGTGGCCTCCCAAAGTGCTGGGATTACAGGCGTGAGCCACTTCTTTCTTTTTTTTTTGAGACAGCGTCTCACTCTGTCACCCAGGCTGGAGTGCAGTGGCACAATCTCAGCTCACTGAAACCTCTGCCTCCCGGGTTCAAGCGATTCTCCTGCCTCAGCCTCCCGAGTAGCTGGGACTACAGGCGCCCGCCACCAAGCTCAGCCCACCAAGCTCAGCTAATTTTTGTATTTTTAGTAGAGATGGGGTTTCGCTCTACTAAACAAAACTGGTTTGGCCAGGCTGGTCTCGAACTCCTGACTTTTTGATCCCCCCACCTCAGCCTCCCAAAGTGCTGGGATTACAGGTGTGAGTCACCGTGCCCGGCTGTGAGCCACTTCTTGATGTATGTTGTCTTTCTTTTATCTGTGGGCTCGTGTCTTTTACTAGATCTGGAAATTCTTTTTTTTTTTTTTTTTTTTTTGAGACAGAGTCTCGCTCTGTCACCCAGGCTGGAGTGCAGTGGCCGGATCTCAGCTCACTACAAGCTCTGCCTCCCAGGTTTACGCCATTCTCCTGCCTCAGCCTCCCAAATAGCTGGGACTACAGGCGCCCGCCACCTCGCCCGGCTAGTTTTTTGTATTTTTAGTAGAGACGGGGTTTCACCGTGTTAGCCAGGCTGGTCTCGATCTCCTGACCTCGTGATCCGCCCGTCTCGGCCTCCCAAAGTGCTGGGATTACAGGCTTGAGCCACCGTGCCCGGCCTAGATCTGGAAATTCTTATCTAGTGGTTAGCTTTTCAAATATTGCTTCTCTCTTATTCTCTCTACTCTCTCCTCCTGGGATTCTGATTGGATATTTTTTAGACTTTCTCATTCTACCCTGTCTTCTCTTAACTCTTCCTTCATGTTTGTCATCTCCTTAACTCCCTGTGCAGCATTTTGGGTAATTTTCTCAATCTGTCTTCCAGTTTACCAATTCACTACTCAGCTTTATTTAATCTATTGTTTAGCCTGTCCATTGAGTTTTTGTTATTGTTGTTTTGTTTTGTTTCATTTTATTTTTAGAGATGGGGTCTCTGTTGCCCAAGCTGGAGTTCAGTGTCACAGTCGTGGCTCACTGCAGCCCCAACCTTTTGGGCTCAAGGGATCCTCCAGCTTCAGCTTCCTCAGTAGCTGGGACTACAGGAGCATGCCACCACAGAGGCTAATTTTTTAATTTTTTTTTTTTTTTTTGTAGAGATAGGGGTCTTGCTATGTTGCCCAGGCTGGTCTTGAACTCCTAGCCTCAAGTGATCCTCCCACCCTGCCTCCCAAAGTGCTGGGATTACAGGTATGAGCCATTGTGCCTGCCCTCCATTCAGTTTTAATGTCAACAAATTGTTAAGCTCTAAAATTTCTATTTGCTTATTTTTCAGATATATCTGATCAATTGCAAAGGTCTTTGCCTTATTTTCTTAAATAATAGCTTTATTGAGATATAATTCACATGTCATAAAATTCAACCTTTTAAAGTATATAATTCAGTGGTTTTTAGTATATTCACAGAAGTTGTGAAGTCATTACCACTATTTAATTCTAGAACATTTATACCAACCCAAAGAGGAATCCTGTATCCATTATCCATCACTATCACCTTCCTTCTATCCCCATTATGTCTACTTTCTGTCTCTGTAGATTTGCCTATTCTGGACATTTCATATAAATGGCCTAATACAGCATATGGCCTTTTATGACTTGCTTTTTTCACTTAGTATAATATTTCCAAGGTTGAACCATGTTACATCAGTACTTAGTACCTTCTTATAGCTGTATAATAGTCCACTGAATGTGTATACCCTAATTTATTTACGAGTTGACGGATTTTGGGGTTGTTCTCACTTGTTGGCGATTATAAATAATGCTCCTATGAACATTCGTGTGTAAGTTTTTCTGTGGACTTTTTTTAGGTACAGGGCCAAGAGGTACTAGATCTCTTGGCCCTGTACCTAGAAGTGGAATTGCTGGGTCATGTACTAACTCTGTATTTAACAGTTTGAGGACCTGCTGGACTGTTTTCCAAAGGGGCTGTGCCATTTTATAATCCCACCAGGAATATATGAAACTTCCAATTTGTCCACATCTTCACCAACATGTGTTATTATTTGTCTTTTTCATCCCTTGCTTATTCCTGTGATACCATGTTTTATTTATTTAAACATTTCCTACCTAGTTATTTTAAATCTGCTATTGAAATTTCAATAACCAAAAAGCTTAGGGCTCTAAATGTGTTATTTTTTGTCATCTGTTCTCATTCATGGTGGCTTGTTTCCTTCTGTGTTTGATACATTCCTGGAGAAATGCAAGGTAGGGCTTTTGTTTCATTCACTGCTATATTCCCATTATCTAGAACCATGACTGAAATGTAACAGGTGCTTAACAAATCATTGTTGAATGAATAAATGAGTTCCAAAGACCTAAGCAGAAGAGTAAACCCCAAATAGCATGTACATTTGCTTCTTCCGGGTGCCAGGGTGTTGATAGATATAGAGCTATGTTAGCCTCTGTCAGTCAGTGTCTAGTTAGGAAAACAGAAGCCCTGTGCCCTATGTATTCCAAATGTATCTATCCGTGTCCAATCAAAGGACAGAAACTACACAGTGATTTAAACAAATGAAATTTAACATAAAGAAGCCAGGCGCGGTGGTTCACACCTGTAATCCCAGCACTTCAGGAAGCCGAGGTGGATCACTTGAGGTCAGGAGTTTGAGACCACCCTAGCCAACATGGCAAAACCCCATCTCTACTAAAAATACGAAAAAAATTAACTGGACGTGGTGGTGCATACCTGTAATCCCAGCTACTTGGGAGGCTGAAGCAGGAGAGTCACTGGAACCCAGGAGGCAAAGGCGGCATTGAGCCAAGATCGTGCCACTGTACTCCAGCCTGGGCGACAGAGCGAGACTCTGTCTAAAAATATATACATATCGATTAATTGATGATTAAAAAGTAACTACAAGATGTCAAGAGAACTATAGGGCTAAGAGAAACTACCTAAGGTAGGGCAAACTTTGAGAGGGTCTCCCTCCCCAGAGCTGGGGTTCAGACCTCATTGGAGATGTGGTTGCTGCCCACTGAATGGCAGAGAAGTTCACAAGGTGGCCTGGCCCAGAGCTTGTCCTCAGTCACTGGACAGGAAAGAAACAAGCTTCTGGGGCCCAGGTGAGCAATCAGGTAGGCGAGCATGCAGGTGCAGAGAAGGAGTTAAGGCACCACTGGGGGCAGAAGGCCTGAAGCAGCCACTGTCCATGTTGGAGGGCCTCAGGCAGGTGATTGATTATCAGGCCGGGCTGAGGCTTTGAGTTCACCGAGGGGCCGTGTCCTGGATGCTTGACCGGGAAATTGCACCACCGGGCGGCCTCTCACCCTCACCAGTCATCGAAGATACAGAGCCAGAGCCAGCAGGAGAAGTGTATTCCTCCCCTAAATGGCCTTCCGGGGCCCTCTACTGAATACACTTGTTATGTTCACCGTAAGGAGATATGTTTAAAGGAATTTTGCCCATTATCACAGAACAGGTATTAAAAAGTGAATTCGGAAACAAGAGGCAAGAAATACATCATTAGCATACCAAGTACTTACGTTTTGGATACAGGGAAATAGAGGTTTATACAACCATTCGGAGGCTGGGGGAGCAAAGGTAAGGGAGCCTTCCGCAGCACTTCAGTCTGCAGCACCCAAGTGCGTGGAGCTCAAAGGCTTGCTCTGAGGCCACTCTAATCTCCAGGGCCTCCGGGAGGCTCCCACCCACTCACTCGGGTTGCAGCACCACTGCAGGTGACTCTCAAGAAGCACACCCAGAAGCTGCAGCAAATGCGTGTCTGCCCGTGCGTCCGCCTGCGGCACCAGTGCAAAGTTGCGCCCTCTCCCTTTCGCCTGCATATCAGATCTCTTATAAGGACTTCTCATTTGCAGGCTCTGCGGAAGCCCCACGTGGCAGAGGATTCTGGAAAATGTAGTTCTCGCCTTCTCTGCGACGCCGAGGAGACCTCAGAAGGGGGTGGCAGTGACAATACGCAGTCCCTTAGAGAAACTTAAGCTTATGTGGAGTCTTGGGTCAGATCCCCCCACGTCATCACTGGCCCCAGGGCAGGCTTCCCAGTAGCAGCCGACTTGAACCTTTGTCCTGAAGGCAGCCCGACCTTTCCTGTGCGCTCCTTGGCTGCCTAGCGCAGTCTCAGCGCCACAACTTTGTTGTTGGTTTGATTTTAGCGGTGGGGAACCGAACAATGCATTAAAAGCATTTTTGGGGGGACGGGAGAGATCTGAGTGCGGTGGTTCACGCCTGTAATCCCAGCACTTTGGGAGGCTGAGGCAGGAGGACTGCTTGAGGCCAGGAGTTCCAGACCAACCTGTGCAACATAGCAAGACCCTGTCTCTACCAAAAAGGTAAAAATTAGTGAAGCATGATGGCACACGCCTGTACACAGGAGGCAGAGGTGGGAGGGTGGCTTGAGCACAAGAGGTCAAGGCTGCAGTGAGCTATTATCGTGGCAGACAAAGGAAGACCCTCTCTTATTTTATTTATTTATTTATTTATTTATTTATTTATTTATTTTGAGACGGGGTCTCGCTGTCACCCAGGCTGCGGTGCAGTGGCGCGATCTCGGCTCACTGAAACCTCCGCCTCCTGGTTTCAAGCAATTCTCCTGCCTCAGCCTCCCAAGTAGCTGGGACTACAGGAGCACGCCACCAAGCCCAGATATTTGTATTTTAATAGAGACGGGGTTTCCCCATGTTGCCCAGGGTGGTCTCGAACTCCTGAGCTCAGGCAATCCGCCCGCCTCGGCCTCCCAAAGTGCTGAGATGACAGGCGTGAGCCAACGCTCCTGGCTGAAGACCCTGCCTTTTTTTTTTTTTTTTAAATAAAGCATTCCCCTAACCCCACTGCCAGGATCCGTTTGTTTTATGGGGAGGAAGCCCTTCAGATATTTTATTAATAGTTCAATCACTGCCAAAAACAAAATCCAGGCTACTTAAAAACATTATTCCCACTCAGAACATTCCTCTAAAGTCAGTGGAGTAATTTTGATTCCACTGCTTGCAACCGAAAAAAAAAAAAAAAAAACTGAAGAAGTAAATGATTCAAACTTGTGACTGCATCACAGAGGCCTTTGAAGATCTAATGAAAGCTAGGGATTCCCGAAAAATATGTGTGTATCCTTAACACATGTGGCATACAATTTCAAGCAGTTCAAAGATCCCTGACACCGATTTGTGGACCCTGTTCATGGAGAGTAAGAACCTGATCAAAAAGAAATGAGGCCGGGCATGGTGGCTCACACCTGTAATCCCAACACTTTGGGAGGCCAAGGAGGGCAGATCACATGAGGCCAGGAGTTCAAGACCAACCTGGCAAACATGGCGAAACTTGGTCTCTGCTAAAAAATACAAAAATTAGCCAGGCTCAGTGGTGCGCGCCAGCAGTCCCAGGTACTCGGGAGGCTGAGGCATGAGAATCACTTGAACCTGGGAGGCAGAGGTTTCAGTGAGCTGAGATTGTGCCACTGCACTCTAGCCTGGGTGACAGAGCGAGACTCCATCTAAAAAAAAGAAAAAAGAAAGAAAGAAGGAAAAAGAAAAAAAGAAAAGAAAAAGAAATTAGGAGTTTATGTACAAAATCTCAGCCTGCATTTTTTTTTTTAAATTTCCAACTTTTAGGTTCAGGGGTACATGTACAGGATGTGCAGGTTTGTTACACAGGTAAATGTGTGCCATGGTGGTTTGCTGCACATATCATCCCATCATCCAGGTATTAAGCCTAGCATCCATTAGCTATTCTTCCTGATGTTCTCCCTCCTCCTATCCCCCACCCTCCAACAGGCCCCATGTGTCCATGTGTTCTCATCATTTAGCTCCCACTTATGAGAACATGCAGTGTTTGGGTTTTTGTTCCTGCATTAGTTTGTTAAGAATAATGGTTTCTAGCTCCATCCATGTCCCTGCAAAGGACATAAACTCATCCCTTTTTATGGCTACCTAGTATTCCATGGTGTATTTGTAATACATTTTCTATAATCAGTCTATCATTGATGGGCATTTAGGTTGATTCCATGTCTTTGCTATTGTGAATAGTGCTGCAATGAACATATGCATGTATGTATCTTTATAATAAACTCTCCCACCAACAGTGTAAAAGCCTTCCTTTTTCTCTACAACCTCACCAGCATCTGTTGTTTTTTGAACTTTTATAATAATAGCCATTCTGATTGGTGTGAAATGGTATCTCATTGTGGTTTTGATTGCATTTCTCTAATGATCAGTAATGTTGAGCTTTTTTTCATATGTTTGTTGGCCGCATGTATGTCTTCTTTTGAAAAGTGTCTGTTCATGTCCTTTGCCCACTTTTGGGGTTGTTTTTCTCTTGTAAATTTGTTTAAGTTCCTTATAGATGCTGGATATTAGAACTTTGTCAGATATATAGATTGCAAAAATTTTCTCCCATTCTGTAGGGTGTCTGCTTACTCTGTTGATAGTTTCTTTTGCTATACAGAAGCTCTTTAGTTTAATTAGATCCCATTTGTCAATTTTTGCTTTTGTTGCAATTGCTTTTGGCGTCTTCATCATGAAATCTTTGCCTGTGCCTATATCCTGAATGGTATTGCCTAGGTTTTCTTCCAGGGTTTTTTATAGTTTTGGGTTTCACATTTAAGTCTTTAATCTATCTTGAGTTAATTTTAGTATATAGTGTAAGGAAGCAGTCAGTTTCAAGTTTCTGTATTTCGCTAGCCAGTTCTCCCAGCACCATTTATTAAGTAGGGAATCCCTTCTCCTTTTTTTTTTTTTTTTTTTTTTTTTTTTTGGTCAGGTTTTTAAAGATCAGATGGTTGTAGTTGTGAGGTATTATTTCTGGGTTCTCTATTCTGTTCCATTGGTCTATGTGCTTTTGTACCAGTACCATGCTGTTTTGGTTACTGTAGCCCTGTAGTATAGTTTGAAGTCAGATAGCATGATGCTTCCAGCTTTGTTCTTTTTTCTTAGGATTGCCTTGGCTATTTGAGCTATTTATTTTGGTTCCATATGAATTTTAAAATAGTTTTTACTAATTCTGTGAAGAATGTCAATGGTAGTTTAATGGGATATCATTGAATCCATAAATTGCTTTGGGCAATGTGGCAATTTTCACAATATTAATTTTTCCTATCTTTGAGCATGGAATGTTTTTCCATTTGTTTGTGTCATCTCTTATTTCTTTGAGCAGTGGTTTGTAGTTCTCCTTGAAGAGGTCCTTCACTTCCCTTGTTAGCTGTATTCCTAGGTATTTTATTCTTTTTGTGGCAATTGTGAAAGGAAGTTAGTTCGTGATTTGGCTCCAGCTTGCCTGTTGTTGGTGTATAGAAGTGCTAGCGATTTTTGCACATTGATTTTGTATCCTGAGCCTTTGCCAAAGTTGCTTATCAGCTTAAGAAGCTTTTGCAGCCCAGCTTTTATAAAGAATCCAAAGCCATTTGAATTGTTTCCCCAGTGCTTTTCTAAACATACACAAAAGGATTTCTAATGAAATGTTCAGTAGGCCGGACACGGTGGCTCACACCTGTAATCCCAGCACTTTGGGAGGCCAAGATGAGCGGATCACCTGAGGTCAGGAGTTCAAGACCAGCCTGGCCAACATGGTGAAACCCCATCTGTACTAAAAATACAAAAAAATCAGCGGGGCATGGTGGCGGGTGCCTATAATCCCAGCTACTTAGAAGGCTGAGGCAGGAGAATTGGAGGTAGAGGTTGCAGTGAGCTGAGATTGTGCCACTGTGCCCCAGTCTGGGCAACAAGAGCAAAAACTCTGTCTCAAAAAAAAAAAAAAAAAAGTTTATCATTCACCATTGTTAGCATATTGGTTTTAAATTTTATTAAAGACATAGTAAAGTTTGTCAAGTTGCATAAAAAATTTGCAGTGGAATAGGCCAGCTTGTGTAATTAATATCTACCATGTGTTCAGGCCTGTCTCGTAAACACTGAGCATAGTTTTACTAACAAAGTATTATAAGGGTATCTATTTATAATAACTTTATTTATATGAGATTTTTATCACCTGTGTCAAGACCTTAATCAGTAACAAACTCCCAACTCAAACAGTGTTTTTATGAGGAAAGCACCATCTTATGCAGTGGTCAGTTTACTCAGCTGTTTTCAGAACTGCCCTGGGTGAAAAACTAGATTGCCTTGTTTCATGCATGGTAGACTTGGTTCTCCAGGACACAGGAGCAGCATAGCAGAAACACCCAGGAGTCCACTCTGGCTTCTGCTGGGTTGCCTTGAACAGGTTAACTCCCGTCTCCAAGTTTCTGTTTAATCATCTGTCATGGAGCAATGCCAATGCGCATGGAGCTGTCAGGGGAGCACAGTCAGGGGTGCAGGAAATATTGGTTTGGTGTATGCCTTATCCTGCTACAGCTTAACAAAGGCCTATTCACTAATTGGGTAACTGAGAACTGCCTCTGGTTAATTGCACAGCTAGAGAAAGGGATCCCGCTTTGTCTGCTGGGTCCATTTAGAATTATAACTTGCCCATTGTTTGATGGGGGATCCTGTAGCCAAACAAATGAATAGTTAATTTAAAGTCAGACAACTGGGGCTTTTTGCTTTAGGTAGAAACCTAATTCCCAGACGATCCATATATTATGTATAGACTGCCTTGACCTGATTCTGTTCTCGGCACTCAGGCTAGGGCCCAACACAGGAAAATCCTGGAAGGGCAAGGGAGCATGAGAGATAGGGGCGGGGGTGGATGACCCAGTTTAAAGCTTTCCTCTCACACTGCAGTGATGAAAAGTCTCCAGGCCATGAGAGTTACATGCTCAACTTGATTCTCTCCATCAAGAGGATATTACTATGGT